AACTTGATCTTAAATTTTTTTGATATCTTGAATGTAACAATGCAACAACGCCAAATAGATAAGTAGGTTTTTGCGCCTACTTATATGCTGAAGTGTGGTGTGTTCAGTTCAATTCCCCTTAAACACTAAGATGTCGATGCAACTATAGGGGGTGTCAATCCAGTCCACTGTTATTGCTAGCAATCAAGATGTTTACAGAAGCAACTACGTCAAGCCATATTATAATGATGGTGGGTTTCTAGTAACAATCCTAAATCAGGATTCAAACAACAAAAATGAGAACTTAAGAGCCCTACTCGATCATTGGGTCGAGTAGAACCAACATGTGACAAGTTTAAGAACCAAAATGTTAGTTCATCAGGTGGCTAACAGGACAAAGGCAAATACCCTAGACGATAGATTCAAAATCGGGTCAATCCACTCTCGTGACAGAGATCCTCATAACTTTATCACTTCCTAATCTCAACTCTCGTTACTGAAACATAGCAGAGCAGGATTTAAGCAACAATCTACCAAAGTCAATAAGCAGTCTAAACAACCAATCTCTTGGGCTAGAATCTACAAATCTCTGGAATTCGTATATCTGGCATCCATTTGAACATCTTTTGGACGCTGGATACATATGGTCGAATTCCCACATTAGCCAGCAAACACCGCATAGGGGCCAACGAATCTAGAAGGGATCTAAACTTATCTTAACCACCTGACTAACCTAGAGATTACCCTAATCTAATCCATCATCAAGAACGCTAATCACTACTCAAGCAACATAACTAAGAACACAAACCCAAAAAATTACAGAAATCATATAAAAATGTAGATCTAAACAAGATAAACAACTTTGCTCAAAGAACTAAATGAAAAAACGAAATAGATTAAGAGTAGTTAAGGTTTCAAGATTCTAAAACACAAAGAAAAACTACAGAATAAAAGCTTGGTCCTTTGGACAAACCCCAAAGAACCTATTTATACTAAAATCTCAAAAACCCTCGATTCACTAGAAGACAAGAGGCTTGAGGCGGTTTGGATGGATGTTCGATCTTGGGGATCGAGTAAAGAGGGTGCTGCAAAGTCTGCGCATTTGCCTCCATGCTACGAGTGATCAATTGGTCGAGTAGATGCTTCTTCCTCTCCTATTTGTATGCTCAGATGTCTGGTTGAGTGTGGAATGAGAAGGATCCGAAGACGCTTTGAACGATCAACAAGTCTTGTAGAGTAGGTTGCCCTCGATCGAGTAACTGGTCGAGTAAAGGATCGAGTAAAAGGGGCGAGTAGATTGATCTGTTGCGTGGATCGAGTAAAGGGGTCGAGTGAATTGCTCTGCTGCTTCCCTCCAGTTTTGATAGAGTAGGGGGTCGAGTAGATGCCTTGTAAGCTCCTTCTGCACCTGCAAACACACCAAAACATGCAATATGTATGCAAGATGATCCTAAATGCCTAAGTGTGCAAAATAAGCTAAATGTGATGCAAAATGATATGATAAATGAGTGATCACTAAGCTAAATGATGATAAATACATGCATAAAATGAGTAAATACAGTGTTATCACTGACTAACCTAGAGATTACCCTAATCTAAACCATCCTCAAGAACCCTAATCACTACTCAAACAACATAATCAAGAACACAAACCTAGAAATTACTCTATACATATCAAAATATAGATCTAAACAAGATAAACAACTTTGCTCAAAGCACTAAATGGAAAAACAAAATAGATTAAGAGTAATTAAGGTTTCAAGATCCTAAATCACAAAGAAAAACTAAGAGATAAAACCTTGGTTCTTTGGAATAACCCAAAGTGACCTATTTATACTAAAATCTCGAAAACCCTAGATTCACTAGGAGACAAGAGACTTGAGGCGGTTTGGATAGATGCTCGATCTTGGGGATCGATTAAAGAGGGTGGTGCAAAATCTGTGCCTTCTTCCTCTCCTCTTCTTATGCTCAGTTGTCTGATTGAGTGGGGAATGAGGAGGATCTGAAGACGCTTTGAACGATCAACAAGTCTTGTAGAATGGGTTGCCCTTGATCGAGTATTTGATCGAGTAGTACATCGAGTAGAGGGTCGAGTATTGTCAGTTGCTTCCTCTGTAGCTGCCTGGATCGAGTAACTGGTCGAGTGAATTACTCTGCTGCTTCCCTCCTGGTTTGATAGAGTAGAGGGTCGAGTGATTTGCTCTGTATACTCATTTTGCACCTTAAAACACACAAAAACATGCAATATGATCCTAAATGCCTAAGTGTGCAAAATAAGCTAATTGTGATGCAAAATGATATGAAACAATGAGTGATCACTAAGCTAAATGATGATAAACACATGCCTTAAATGAGTAAAATACAGTGTTATCAACTCGCCAAACTTATCTCTTGCTTGCCCTCAAGCAAACAAAATATCTTAATTTGAAGGAGAGGTTTGAAGGTGGGGATTCAAAACCGAAGCATGCATATAGAGCGAGTTAGATCAATGTCCATAAAAAAACCATATGTGCTCTAGGAAACCAAACATATCCTCAAGAGTTTTGATGGCCAAAATATAGTCTTTTCCATAGACTTTGAAGGTGATATACCCCAACCCTTCTTCTCTCGACTCATGGCTAGGTAGCCCCCGAAACCACTCTTGTAGGCTAAGTGAGGGTTGGCCATGAGACCCAAAAGACCAGTCTTTTCAAAGAGGTACTCAACATATTCTGTTATGCCAAGCTCTTTCATGGTTTGGGGGTGAGGGTATCGAGTGCCCTGAATATCGTGAACCACCAAAAGCTCATAGTAACCATTTGGCGACAGCTTAGTCTTCTTTATCAAGGATTTGGTGATCCTTGGAGTTATTTCAGGGACATAGTCTTCATCCCCACCAAGGTCTTCATCCACAAGGCTTCTCTCCTCCGCCATGGCTCTCTTACCTCTTGCAATCTCAGCTCTTCTTCTATTGATAATAGGTTTTTAAGATCAATTAATCCTAAAACACTATCTTGTCGTTGTAGTATTTTAGGTGTCAATCCAATCAGGTGTGATGCAAACAGATGAGATATGATCAGAAGTCACTAAGTCAAGCCAAGCAATAACAGTTTTGGGGTTTCTAACAGTCCTAAGCGAATATGCAAAAAACAGAAACTTTAACAGAATTACTAAAATCACTCGACCACAACAGGCTGATGCCAAAAGCAGGATGTGGTCGAGTAAGAGGTCGAGTAATGAGACAACTGTACTCGACTGCACAGTTTGTTGCCAGACATTGGGTGTGGTCCAATAAGTTGGTCGAGTAATTGCAAAAACTAAGAAACAGACAATGAGAGATTAAGCGATAACGAACAAAGAAATCAGATAGACGAGAAATTCCTAAGGATGGGATAATCGAATAGAGTGGTATCCTAGCCTATTCGAATGGTTAACAAGCGCAATCAGGCTATCCCTAGACAACATGTTCAACAACAGATCAATTCACTCTCGTGATAGAAATCCTCAAGCAAAGCTAGCCCAGATTAATTCTCATTAACGCAATTTAACTATGCAGGAGGCCGAAGGGTTTTCTTGAAGACCTATCAGCAAGGATTAAAGTCAGATCGCAAGGCCTCTATTGAGTGAATTCCAGCTTCCTTGCCACAGAGAGTGGCATTAAGCTTATTGAAGCTCCTAAATCTCATGGACAATTTCTGAAAGCCAATTGCCCAATAGAACATGGTAGAGTGAAAGATCCAGGATCTTCCAGCTTTTCTTGAACGCTCCTCTTAACAGTGGCTCTAGACGGATTATCATCACATTCATCTTCTGAATCCTTATACATCTTGATCCTTTCCAGAAATGAATTTCTCATATCTTTGTGAGGGTCCGGGATCAGGTTGAGAACTTGTATTAAAGGCATCACCGCTTCCATCTCATCAAGCTGCTTCTTTGCAAGAGAACTGTATCTTTCTATCCATGCTTTCCTGAATTTCCATGGAAGAGCACGTGAAGGTAATGGTGCTGGCTTAAATCGTTTTACCATCCTCTCAATGATGGCTGCTTTCTCGTCCAGGGTAGACTGAGTTTGAAAACGAGATCAAGCTGAATGGTCGAGTCCAATAACTGAAATTGCAATCTGAGTAAAAGCCTCCCCTTTCTGAACATCACTGTCCCAGTGATTGAGTTGGAGACATGTCGAGTTGGTAGCTCTCGATCATGACATATAGTGATAGCGTGAGCGGTAGCGTATTCCTTTGGGTTTGGGATTGATTTCCTTGGAAGTCATGTTACTTTGGGAGCAAAGGTTGACCCTGTTTGTCCTTCCATGTATCAGACCTTAGAGGTAAGTGCCTCAATTTTGATGTTCAGATCGTTGAAAGTGCAATCAACTTTGTTGTGGATTTCTGCCATCTTTTTGGCGAGATCCATTGCTCCTGCTGCTTGTCCTTGGAGAATCTGCTATAACATATTCTTTAAATCTGAATCTAGAGTTGGTGAAGGTTGTTGGTTTTGCTGCTGTGCAAACCCAGGTGGTGGAAGTTGCTGCTGATAGTTGCCCTGGTACTGGAACAAAGGGTTTGGATTGATTCTGCTGCTATGAAGGGTAGACTTGGTCCTGCGGGTTTGCAACAATTGTACTTCTGTAAGACATATTGGGATGGTTCTGCTTGAAGTTGTTGAAACCTTTGTTGTAACCTCCTTGGTTTTGCACATAGCTGACCTCTTCTGATTGCAAAGTCTCCCCATCCTTGACTTGGAACGTCTCATCATCTCCCTGAAAATGAACATGCTTCTGTTGCACAAGGAGTAGGTTGTCCAGCTTGTCATTCATAGCTTTCATTTCCCGGCGGTGCTTCTCATCAAAATCAGAGCTGGAGCAGATGCTTCTATCATAATCTTCATTGTAGTTACTATCCAATTGAGCCAAGTTCTCTACCAGCTCCCATTCGTCTTCAACGTCTTTGTTGAGGAAGTTCCCGTTAGAAGCGGTATCAAGAAGCATCCTGATCTTGGGAAGCACACCTCTGTAGAGAGTGCTGAGAAGTGAAGCTTTGGAGAAACCATGATGAGGAAATTGCGTGTAATAACCTTTGAAGCGCTACCATGCTTCACAGAAAGTCTTAGTACTTTTCTGTGTGAAACCAGAAATATCATTCCGAAGTCTTGCAGTCCTGGAGTTTGAGAAAAACTTAGCCAAGAAGGCTTTCTTGGAGTCATTCCAGGAGGTGATAAAGCCTTGAGGATGCGACTTTTCCCACTAATGGGCTTTGTCTCGAAGAGAGAATGGAAACAATCTAAGCTTGAAGCCATCCTCACTAACTCCATGGATCTTTGTTAGGCTGTAGAGCCTATCAAACTCGTCCAGGTGATCGAGTGGATCCTCCATAGGGAGGCCGTGAAACTTGTTGCTCTGAACCATGGTAATGAGACCGCTCTTGATCTCAAAGTTGTTGTTCTGCACTGGTGGAGGCACGATGCCATTACGCTGATTGTGGTTGCGTGGTGCATCGCCTGCACCAATGTTGTTTGGTTGCACTTGCTCATCTACAATTGCAGCCATTGTATCTGTTTCTGTCTGTGTTCTGAGTTGGCGAGCAATACGGTCGATGATATCGTTGAATAGGAGATTCTGATTTCTTTGTGACCGTGTTTGATAATAGGTTTTTAAGATCAATTAATCCTAAAACACTATCTTGTCATTGTAGTATTTTAGGTGTCATTCCAATCAGGTATGATGAAACAGATGAGATGTGATCAGAAGTCACTAAGTCAAGCCAAGCAATAACAGTTTTGGTGTTTCTAACAGTCCCAAGCGAATATGTAGAAAACAAAAACTTTAACAGAATTACTAAAATCACTCGACCACAACAGGCTGATGCCAGAAGCAGGATGTGATCGAGTAAAGGTCGAGTAATGAGACAAATGTACTCGACTGCACAGTCTGTTGCCAAACACTGGGTGTGGTCCAGTAAGTTGGTCGAGTAATTGCAAAAACTAAGAAACAAGCAATGAGAACGATTAAGCGATAACGATAAAACAGAGAAATCAGATAGACGAGAAATTCCTAAGGATGGGATAATCGAATAGAGTGGTATCCTAGCCTATTCGAATGGTTAACAAGCGCAATCAGGCTATCCCTAGACAACATGTTCAACAACAGATCAATTCACTCTCGTGATAAAAATCCTCAAGCAAAGCTAGCCCAGACTAATTCTCATTAACGCAATCTAACTATGCAGGCAATAAGGATAGACTGATAAAGTCAATAAACGCTCTAAACGGCCAATCCCTTGGGATAGAGACGAATATCACATGAACTAGTGGATCAAGCATTCCATCAGACACCTTCTGGGTGCGGGAATGCCTTGGATCGAATTCCAGTTGATCAGAAAGAAATAAGCAGTAAACACAACTAGTCCTGAAGGGATTCAATCAATTCTAAACCTTAACCATTCTACAGACTAAGGATTCCACAACCATTCTATCCCATCCTTAAGAACTCTATGTCACTACTCATACAACATGCTCAAAGACATAAATGCAGGTAAACAAGTATATTGCATAAGTAAAGAGATAAAGACTAGAGAAACAATATGACAGATGAAATCAAATGCGGAATCTGAATAACTTGGAAAAATCTCGAATTACAGGTTGCAGAAACAAAAGCGGCGCAGCCAGAGTAAAACAGAAAATAAAACTGAAAGCAAAAACTCAATGTCGACTAGATGTCCCAGGACAAAACCCTAAGACACCTATTTATACAAAACGAAATAAAATGACAGTAGATGGGCCGGGAACCTAATCGCCTGGCCCATAGAGTGATAATGGACAGAGATGGGCTTCGTGATTGGATGAAGCTCCGGACCGCTTCCAAACACTTCTTCTTCTCCTCTTCTCTTCCTAATGCTCAGCTTGTCTGGTTGAGTGCGGATTTGAGTAGACTCTGAAGATGTGATCGAGTGCTTGGTCGAGTGGAGGTATTGGTGTTGAGTGATGATGCACGACCAGGGGGTCGAGTAGTGTGGTAGAGTGAACAGCCGAGTGTGGTTAGGTGGTGTGACGAAGTGATACTCGACCGGGGGGTCGAGTGGTTTTATCTAATGGCCTGAGCTGCGGTTACTCGACCACGGGGTCGAGTAGATGGGAAGAATGGCTCCAATGTCACTCGACCAGGTGGTCGAGTATTGTGCTGGATGTACTCGGCCTGGGGGTCGAGTATGTCTTTTGGTTCTGGCTCGCTTCTTCCAATTTGCTCGCCAACAGCTCTAAATCACCTGAAAACAACTTAGAAATGCAATATGTATGCAAAGCTATCATAATCATGCAAAGTATGCAAGAGTGATGAGAAATGATATAAAACAGTGATGAATGATATGAAACTAGACTCAAAACGATGATGAATGAACATAGAAAACATTCAAATTATAGACATATCATCTATCACTAGCTAGAGCTTCGGCGGTTTGTTGATTGAACTGCCTGTACTCTTCCATCTCTCTCTCAGGCCTAATAGACCAAGACTCAGCCTCATCCAGGTTGAAATCGGCGTCCATTGAAGATCCGTTGCTGTTTGAACTCATGGTGAAACTGAACTCTTAGAAACCAAAACTAAAGCTTAGTAGGTGAGTCGAAAACAAAAGGAAAACGTTTATGGCTTTGGTCGAGTAAAATGGGGGGGGGGAGTGATTTCTGAAGAAAGCTGAAAACTGAAATGTTGGGGATGATTTGGAACATAAATCAAATGAGAGAGTTGATAGTCGGGTGCACACAAAGGAGAAAGTGAGGGATAGTGATATCTTAGCTTTGATGTTGATATGAATGAGTGGAGGAAAATTGTCTCCCATGCTTTCTTGTTGAGATAAGAAAGTTTAACCGAATATTATTGAACATGATGGGTAAATGCTTTATCCACCGAGTAATAGAGAAATGGGGGAACAAGTGGGCCACTCGATAACCATGCTTGGTCGTTTGATCACGCCACTCGACCAATTGATGGAGTAAAATGATGAAGCAAATTTACTCGACCAATTGATAGAGTAAAATTACTTCTGTAACAGATATTTCTTGATCACAGACTCCACAGTTCTACAAATCCTGATTTATTTCTTGAATTTTAAAAACACTAAGAAACATATCAAAATATCAAATTTAAATATGTACAGAGATAGACATGAGAATTCCTCCCAAGTGAGCTTGTTTAAAGTCTTAAGCTAGACTCCTTACTATTTTAGGCATTAATGGGCTCCTGGAGGTGAACTGTAATTCCTTCAGGAATAGGGCAATCTACCATGTAACGCTTGACCCTCTGCCCATTTACAGTAAATTCAAAACTTCCATTTCCAGTAAGAGTAATTGCCCCATATGGCAATACTTCTTTGATTGTGAAAGATCCAGGCCACCTGAATTTGAGCTTTTCTGGAAACAACTTGAGCCTGGAGTTGAATAGTAGAACTTCGTCTCCAATGTTGAAATCTTTTGGTGCGATCTTTTTGTCATAGAAGGCTTTTGTTATTTCTTTGTAGATCTTAGAACTCTCATATGCTTTCAGCCTAATCTCTTCCAGTTCATGCAGGTCGACTGCACTTTTTTCTTGAGCTCCTTTGATTTCCAAGTTCAAGAGTTTGGTTGCCCAAATGGCTCTATATTCCATTTCTATTGGTAAATGACAAGATTTCCCATATAGCATCTGGAATGGGGTTCTTCCAATAGGCGTTTTATATGCAACTCTATAGGCCCACAAAGTCTCATCAAGTTTAGTTGACCAATCCCTTCTTGAGACACCATCAACTTTTGTGAGTATAGCTTTGATATGCATGTTTGACACTTCCACTTAGCCACTAGTCTGAGGATGATAGGGAGTGGCAACCTTATGCTTAACCCCATGTTTTCTCAATAAACTTTCAAAGACCTTGTTTATGAAATGCGAGCCTTTATCACTTATTACTACCTTGGGGATACCATATCTGGGAAAGATAATGGACTTAAACATTTTCAGAACCACTTTGTGATCATTGGTCGGTGCTGCTATAGCTTTGACCCACTTGGAGACGTAATCCACTGCTACCAGGATGTAAGTATTTCCATATGAGGAAGGGTTGCACGGATCCCTGAAGTCTATCCCCCATACATCGAAAACTTCTACCTCAAGAATGGGATTCTGTGGCATCTCATTCCTCCTGGATATGTTCCCGACTCTTTGGCATGGATCGCATTTTCCTATGAACTCTTGAGTGTCTTTAAACATTGTGGGCCACCATAGACCTACTTGCAACACTTTTTGGGCGGTCTTAAAAGTAGCGAAATGCCCTCCATAGGTGGAGTCATGGCAATGTTCCAGTATACCCTGAACTTCTCCTTCAGAGACACACCTCCTGAATAGCCCATCATTTCCCTTTTTATACAGGTATGGTTCATCCCAATAGTAATGGTGTATATCTCTACATAACTTCTTCTTTTTATATGCATCCAGACTCTGAGATATCATACCACTTACTAAATAATTGACTAAATCTGCATACCAGGACAACTTTTCTTCTTCAACTGCATATGCTTCATCCAGTATGTCCTTTGTGCTGATATTTTTGTTAACAAGGTCGTAAAACATCAACTTTTCTTCCGGCATAGTGTCATCTATCGGGATTGAATCCTCAATCCTCATTTTGGAGAGATGATCTATAACTCCATTCTCTATACCTTTCTTACTAATGACTTCCATGTAAAACTCCTGAAGTAATAGTATCCACCTTAGAAGCCTTGGCTTGGTTTCCTTCTTTGCGTAGATGTCCCTTAGTGTTGCATGGTTTGTGTAAACCTTCACTTTGGAACCAACCAAATAGCTTCTAAATTTCTCAAATGCGAAAACCACAGCTAACAGCTCCCTTTCTGTGGTTGCATATCTTGTCTGAGCTTTGTCCATTGTTCTACTGGCGTAGTAGATGACGTGAAGTTTGCCATCAAACCTTTGGCCTAGAACTGCTCCAACTTCATAATCGGATGCATCACACATAATCTCAAATGGATAGTCCCAGTTGGGTGCTTGAACGATAGGGGCAGACACCAACGCTTCTTTTATCGAATGGAAGGCCTTAAGACAATCTTCATCAAAATTGAACTTAGTTTCCTTGCACAACAATCTAGTGAGGTGTCAAGCAATCTTTGAAAAATCTTTTATGAATCTCCTGTAGAATCCTGCGTGGCCTAGAAAGCTTCTGATATCCTTAACTGTTTTAGGGGATTGCAGCTGAATCATGACATCGATTTTTGCCTTAGTACAATTCCTTTACCAGAAATCTTGTGCCCTAGTACAATTCCTTCTTGAACCATGAAATGACATTTCTCCCAGTTGAGTACCAAATTGGTTTTCTCACACCTTTCTAGAACCCTGCACAAATAACAAACATGAGGAGAAAGAGGATCCATAGACTGAGATCATGAATACTCCATTATCTCCTCAATAAAATCCGAGAATATTGAAGTCATGCTTCTCTGGAAAGTCCCAGGAGCATTACATAAACCAAAAGGCATTCTCTTATAGGCAAAAGTTCCATAGGGACAGATGAAAGTGACTTTTTTCTTGATCATTAGGGTGATTGCAATTTGAAAGAAACCACTATAGCCATCAAGAAAACAGTAGTAATAAACATGATAAGCTAGCCTTTCTAACATTTGATCAATGAATGGTAAAGGAATATGATAATTTCTAGTTGGAGCATTTAGTTTTCTCTAATTAAAGCACATTCTGTGTCCAGTTATAGCTCTAGTGGGAATGACTTCATCTAAATCATTTTTAACTACAGTCATACCCCCTTTCTTAGGTACACAGTGCACATGAGAGACACAAGTACTATCAAAGATTGGGTAGATGATGTTAGCGTCAAGTAATTTAAGAATTTCCTTTTTAACCACATCTTTCAAATTCAGATTTAATCTCCTCTATGGTTCAACAATAGTATATGATTCATTTTCAAGATGGATCCTATGAGTGCATAAACTAGGTGAAATTCCTTTAATATCAGCTAATGAATACCCAATTTCTTTCATATACTTTCTAAGCTCTTTTAACAACTGATGCACTTGTTCATCACTTAATCCATTATTAATAATGACAGGATAAGTATCATTTGGACCAAGGAACGCGTACCTCAGACCTTTTGGAAGAGGCTTAAGGTCAACCTTTGGAGCTTTGAGTTCTGACAAGTCATCTGAACTTGCATTTTCCTTAATTCTTTTCATAATCAGATTTTTGAGGTACTTGTGGGAGTGTGGAATGAGCATGAAAGCATCCATTAACGGCATTCTTAGTTCAATTTCCTTTAGCTGCTTATCAAAAATGGCTTTGTATTTTTCTATTCATCCCTTTTTGAATCTTCCAGAGAAAGGCATAGTCGGTTTGTAGGGTGGTAGAGCAAATTCTTTGTTCTTTTCTGCAACCACAACTTTTCTTTCTTCAAAAGTTGGCTTTGCTCGATTGAGTAGAGGGTCGAGTGCGGCTGAAGGCTATCAAGTTTAGTTGGTTCATTAATTTGAACTTCGTTTTGAAGCTGATCTTCTCCTTCTTGAACTTCACTGTCCTTAGTGATCTTTTCTGTGCTCTGGTTATCGAGCAGTTTCCAACCACTGCGAAGTGTAACTGCGTGGGCATATGCTTTGGGGTTTTGAATGGCTTCTCTTGGATGTGGCCCTGTATGCTTAGAGGAGGTATTGGAAACAGCTTGGTTGTCCATGTATATCATTTTGAATGTTAGGTCCTCATATTTGTTTCTTAGCTCATTGTAGGAACTATCAACTTTACTATTAATCACACCCAATCGTTTTTCCAAAACTATAGCTCTAGTAGTTTGACCCTGAATGATTTGTTGAAGCATTTGTTTCGTGTCGGGATCATTTCCTACTGGGGCGTGTTGTGGTTGTTGATTGAACCATGTTGGTTGATTCTGCTGTTAGTATCCTCCATTGAACTACTGCTTAGGGACATAACCTTGGTTGTACTGAACAAATGGCTTAGACTTATTATGTTGGGGTGAATACACTTGATCTTGGGGTTTAGCTACATTAGTGTTTCTGTAAGAGAGGTTCGGGTTGGGCTTGTAGTTGTTGTAGCCCTTGTTTAATCATCTGGATCTAAATATAGCAGAGCTCTTCAGTTTGATCATTCCCCCCTTCTTGCATTTGGAAGTGCTCTTCATCAGTGATGTTGTGTATCTGCTTCTGTTGAGCCAACAACAGTTTGTGTAGCTTTTCAGTCAGGGCCTTGATATCCTTCCTTTGTATATCTTCAGCTTCTCCTGTTCCTCTCACTGAGCGATCATAGTCTTCATTGTAGCACCCATCAGATTGTGCTAGATTTTCGACAAACTCCCATCCTTCTGCTACATTGTTGTTCAGGAAGTTTCATTTGAGGCATTGTCGAGTAGCATCCTAATCTTTAGTAAAGTTCCTTGGTAAAGCTTCTCTGTAGAGTGTGCTCAATAATGAAGATTTCTTAAAACCGTGATGGGGCTCTGAGTGGTGTAGCTTTTAAACCTCTCCCAAGCTTCGTAGAAAGTTTCATAATTTTTTCTGCGTGAAGCCTGAGATCTCGTTCCTCATTCTAGTTGTGCGAGCATTAGAGAAGAACTTGACAAGAAAAGCTTTCTTACAATCATCCCATGAGTTGATGGAGTCAGGGGAAGAGTCTTTTCCCAGTGGTGTGCCTTGTCTCCCAAAGAGAAGGGAAATAGTGTAAGCTTAAACCTATCTTCAGGGACACCATTGATCTTAGTAAGGCTACATAGCCTATCAAAGCTATCAAGATGGTCCAGGGGAACCATGAAATTTGTTTCCTTGGATCATGGAGATGAGAGACCACTCTTGATTTCAAAGTTGTTGTTCTGAACTGGTGGTGGCACTATCCCTTATCTTTAGTGATGATTCCTTGGGGCATCACCAGCACCAAGGTTTCTTGGTTGATCAACTATACGTGGGTCTTGAACCTCAAGTCCTCTGTCCTGTTGACCCTAATCTAATCCATCCTCAAGAACCTTAATCACTACTCAAGCAACATAACTAAGAACATAAACCCAGAAATTACTGAAATTATATCAAAATGTAGATCTAAACAAGATAAACAACTTTGCTCAAAGAACTAAATGCAAAAACGAAATAAATTAAGAGTAATCTATACATTTGATCGAGGAAGAAGATGCTAAATTAGTAGCAAAGCATCTTCCAGCAAAAAGAAAAGACAAAAAACGTGACGTTTATCAGGAACCGCGACCACACTACGATCCAAAAGAGGTCAAACGAGGAACGATCTTTGTCGCAATGGATTCTAAATACCAATCTCCCCAACCATCGATGTCGATCGACATTGCTACATGGTTAAGGTGGCTAATTCGTTTCTCCAAGTATTTCAAATCAAATACTAATTATTTCGACTTCTCTAGCTTAATAACTCTAGGAATAACATTATCTAAGTCTCGGGGAGCCAAAGGGTAACCATATCTTTTCTTTTCTTAAGTTAGTCGTGTCGTTTTTTTATTTATGTTTTTTATTGAGTGAAATTTTGTTTGTCTCCAATTTTGATCTTTCTCTCGAGTTTATTGCCTGGTTGATTAACTGTTACAGATTTGATTCGATCTGACTAATGGAAAATCCTGAGGGCAAACCAATAAATTAGAGGACATCCATTATTCCAACATATAATCCATAAAGAGAGCTAATCTCACTGCTTTTCCTTTTTCCTCGTCAAAAATGTTAGTGTTCATAGAACTTGACTCCTTGTTCATATATGATAATGAGACTGATATACCTAGATTTTCACTGCTTTTAGCTATGATTTATGTATAGTTTTAAGAGTCATTTTGTTATTTGTAGAGTCTTTTCTACTATTTTTCAGGTCTTTACATGTTTGGGATGCATTTGGAGATTATGGGGCATTCTGGAGCAAAACAGACAACTTAAGCTGCGGCAGCAATTCGGAGACGGAAATTGACGTAGGTGTCGATCGACACAACCCCTGGTGTCGAGTGACACCAATACCTGACGACAATTCAATTGCGTAACTTATTGATGTTTTGAAGATTTCCAAATTCGGCCTAGAACTTTCCCTTATTTCCAAAGAAGGCCCAGATGTTTTTAGGACTTATATATTGATTTCTCTGGTCATTGGTTAGACCTAATTCTTATTATCTCTTTTAAACTTGGGAGCAAAATCCTGTGGAGACTCTCTTTAGAGAAGATTCTTTTAAACTCCTTTCTCTTCTTAATTTCATCATTGATTTCTTATTCAATCATGTTTTGTTCTTCTATGATCATGCTTGAGTAGTCCTCTTGTTTAGTTTAGAGATTCTCATTAGGGATTTGGATGAATTAGTAGATCGAAAACCCTATTAGCATAATATATTTAGAATTCTTCATCTTAGATTGTTGTTAATGCTAGTTTTAGAGTAACTAAATAGAACTTGATTTTAGGATAATAGGTATGCCCACCATAGGTATCTATTACTGGAACTATCTTAGATGAGCCTAGTATTTACGTGCTAGCGTCCTTTACTTGGGTGAACTTATCAAACCTGATTATAATGATTACTTAGTTCTAGGGATTTACAAGAGAGTTGGGATCAATACTATTAAGCATAGTGAGTTTCGCGGAACACCACCGGTTACTTTATATTAGTGATTTGTGTTCTAGAATGGTTCGATAAAAATCCTAATTTACTGCTAGATCTACTATTCTGATATTTCCTTAGAATTTCCCTAAGCCTGACTTCTTAATCATCTGAATCTACAACCAATTTTAATTGCTTTCTTGTCTTTTACTTTTATAATATTTTCTGTTTAGCTTTATTCAAAACTGTTAATCTATTGTGTGATCCGAGAATTTTGTGGAATTCGATCCCTAAGTGCTATAACAACCTCTTTATTTGAGAGAATAGTCATTAGAGTAATTTGACTCATATCAGAGACCAATGTGATAAAGAATAAGTATTCATCTCTCTTATAAAAAAATATAGTAAAAGAGAGAAATTGAGAGGATTTCCTGTAGTGTATAGGGATAGAAATATTTCCAATGATCTCATTATTTTACACTTTAAAGAATGATCAATTGCAAATGTTGAAAATATGCGGAGGATATATATTCGGTGATGTGAGTACTTCTTTGTCTAATCTCTGAAAAGAATAAGTCTTGAGAGAGAAAGAATACTAAAGGAATGTTAAATAGTAGATTTATCATGGTATAGTACAGGAATGAGTCTATAAGATTCTTGAATATTAACTTGATTGATGAGACTCAATGATGAAAACCTGTTGGATACAGTTGTGGAATTTGTTATGAAATTTAGGATATTGTGTAAGCCTGTGGAAAATTACATGGTAGTTAGGACTTGATTAGAACTGCTAAGTACATTTTGTTTAAATGATCAAGGTAATACGTTAGAGAGATCGGGAGTTTCTGCGTTTTTAAACTTCTTCCACAGGTTCGGTTTTGTGTTTTTCTTGAGGGGAAGCAAAAGAAAAGTCTGAAGGAGCAGATATATCTTGGTTTTTTACTAATTTCTAACATGATATTAGAATAGTTTTTAGTCTTTTCGTATGTTTACAAGTCTTTACAGGTGCATATCTACTTTTGAGAGCTATAGAGCCACATAGGAAATTTCGGAAGCTTTTTAGCAAAGAAGATGGGCAAGGACGTTATTCACGGGATGGTGTCGATTGACACCCCACTGGTATTGATCGACACCCCACTGGTATTGATCGACACCCTTATCGACCAAAGGATTTCCTCACGTTTCATCAAGTCATTAAGAATAGCAGAAGTTCCAGAAGTTTTTCTAATTTGCAAAATAGACCCTACACGTTTTTAGTAACCTATATATATATTTAAAGTCATTGTTTAGACTTAAGCTTTGTGTGTGAGAGATTTTCTACTTTTGGAGAGAAGATTTTGAACTCCTTTAACGTTATCTCATATAATAATTCAATTCAATTTATTCGGATTATGATTGGTGTTCTCTTAATCATGTATGAGTAGTCACCTTGTTGGGTTTTAATGCAGCAACAATAGATCTTTAGAGAAAGGACAAGTGGACCTACGAGTGGGAAATGGAGCAAGAGTTGCTGCATTGGCTGTGGGAACATTTCATTTATCTTTACCTTCTGGCATGGTTTTAGAAATTAATAATTGCTACCATGTACCTGCCATAAGAAAAAATATTATTTATATTTCTTATTTGGATTTGGATGAATTTTCGATTAATGACAAGTGTTGTTCATTTGATCGTGGTGATATTTTTATATGGTATTGGTCCATTAGAGAATGGATTTTATTTTCTGAACCAAAGTGTGCCAGTGTATAACATCAATACTAAAAGATTTAAGTCTAACGACTCGAATCCTACTTTTCTTTAGCATTGACGTTTTGGCCATATAAATGAGAAACACATCCAAAAGCTTCACAGTGATGGACTTGAACTCATTTGATTATGAATCATTTGAAAAATGTGAATCTTGTTTATTGGGTAAAATGACTACCCTTTTACTAGACACAATGAAAGGACTGGTGACTTATTGGGTCTTGTACATACAGATGTATGTGGGCCCATGAGTTTAAGTGCCAGAGAAAACTACAAGTACTTCATTACATTTACTGATGATTACAGTAGATATGATTATGTTTATTTAATGAAACATAAATCTGAATCTTTTGAAAAGTTCAAAGAATTTCAGAATGAAGTACAAAATCAACTTGGCAAAACAAGTAAAGCTCTTCGATGAGATCGTGGAGGAGAATATTTGAGCCAAGTTTTTAGTGATCATCTGAGAGAATGTGGAATTGTTTCACAGCTTACTTCACCCGGAACACCTCAGTGGAATGGTGTGTCTGAAAGGAGAAGTCAAACTCTATTAGATATGGTTAGATCGAAGATGAGTCACACAGATCTTCCATTATCCTTTTGGGGATATGCTCTAGAAACTTATGCGTTTACGCTAAACAGGTGTTCATCAAAATCAATTGAAATGACACCATATGAGATATAGATTGAAAAAGTTCCAAACTTGTCTTTTCTGAAAATTTGGGATTGTGAAGCTTATGTTAAACGTTTGATTGCTAATAAGCTTGGACCCAAATCTGAGAAATACTACTTTGTTGGTTATTCTAAAGAGACCAAAGGTTATTACTTTTACAACCCTACTCAGAACAAAATGTTTGTTGCTTTGAATTGTGTTTTTCAAGAAAGAGAATTCTTTCAAAGAGAAATAGTGGGAGTAAGGTACAACTTGAAGAAGTTTGAGAACCAAAGGAGATTGCTTCACCTATTCAGGAAGGGCATCAACTAGATTTAAGAAGAGTCGTAGAATCTACACCCTTGGAACCTGAAGTACGTAGGTCTGAAAGGACGCGTCACGAACCTAATAGATATGGGGTTTGAATGACGGATCATCATGATCTATTGATTATAGAAAATGATGAACTTACGTCTTACAAGGAAGCAATGATGGGCCCCGACTTCGATAAGTGGTTAGAGGCCGCTAAATCCAAAATGGACTCCATGTCACAAAACAAAGTATGGACTTTGGTTGATTTACCTAATGGTGTAAAAGCCATTGAG